ATATGGCTGAAAAGCTGCAAAGCACAAGTATGCTGTCATCGCCCTGAGCTTCCTAGTTTTCACCAGCTAGATAGCAAGACAAGCGAGATAAGGTATTTTTCTTTTTTGTGTTTTTGAAGAATGGCCTCTGACCTTCTATTTGACGATTGTTAAACTGAAATCATATAAAATATTGTAATAGCTAACTAACATTGTAAACTAGCTTGATACACGCTTACAGCAAGCTTGCAAAATAACACGTTCATACTCAATTAAATGTACAAATTATCATACCATTTTAAACAAAAGAAAGAGACAACAAAGCAACAACATTTTAAGGTCCATATCCGCTTAGAACAATAATACTTCGCCATTACGTTCAGCCATGTCGGAATTTTCGCTTTCTCTATTTTGCTTTTTTCAAAGTAATCAAACAATAATACAAAGCAGCCAGTAGAGGGAGCTCTCGGGCAGTTTACGAAACTGTAACTTCTAAAACAACAAGCGTGAATTATTGCTGAAAAAAATATCCACCTACACCTACCCAGCATTGTATGTGTGTGTTGTACTGGGGTCCAGCTGCTCAACCAATTCAGGTTTCCAGGGCCCAGAGTCCAACATTTTTCCAATCATTCTTCATATGTGGTACAAGTAACCTGGCTATTTAGATGTGATCATCTGCAAACAAAAAAACAAAAACACCAACAACAAAAAAAGATGTGACCATCTGCAGCAGTCAAAGAGAAAAAACAAGGGAGAGAGAGAAAATAAGCACTAATTTCAAGACCATGCTCTTTCCTAAAAGCCAACATTAGTCCTATTACCAAGAATTATACCATAATTATTATACCGCCACATTTCTCATCCACAATCATCATGTCAAGCTTTGCCTCAAGTCATCTTATATAACCAAAAACAATCAACAGCTGACAACAATAATAGAAATTAAAATGCTTCAAATAGCCTCCCTCCAACAATGATGTTGTAATTTTGCAGCAGACACTAAGAAATTTGGTTTGTGATGTTATAGAATAAGAGAGCATGCTAAAACTAGACAACAAAGTATGAAAATAGCCCAATTAAACCCTGTGACCCTTAAACACAACATAACAGTGCATGGATGTGAGCGATCAGCTCAACCCAGCTCAGAAATGTAGTTAATTGTAAGCACATGCATTCCTCGTCGACAGACCCAACAAACTTGCATCAAGGACAATGTTAGATACCCAAAACACTTACGTTTAATACTTGCCTTGACAAAAATACAGATCTCCCCATCTCAATTTTTCATTTAATAAAGTACCTATAAGGTAAGTGGATCAATTTAAGTTAACTTTGCGCCCATGAATGAAGTAATGAATTTTAATGGTTGAATTGGGCTTGTATGGTGTCCCATCACACATCTGACACAGTGACTTGGTGCAGACACAGGCCAACAAGCTGCCTGCCAGCCGCTGGGCAGCCAAATGAGAGCGCTTGTTTGCTTGGCATCTCCATGGTTTCCATGGTCAGAAAGGAGGTCTTTGTGTGTATTTGTGTGTGTGTGTGAGTGAGTGAGTGAGTGAGATTGATAGTGTACAAAATGACTGAAACTGGATTTGGGGCCTATATTCATATCACGCATGTATATAAGCATGTACATGTGTTTTGTTTCTCCTGTGTGCATTTGCGAGTCTGTGCATGCACTGTGCTTGTGTGGGCTTATCCAACTGACTATTTCATCTGGCCTACTGTGCCAACGATTTGGAACATGGGTTCAAGCGCTGGTTCATTACTGTGAAATTCCAGATGACACTTTCTGGAAGGGTCTGCTTGTGCACTAAAACAGGGTTCCATTTTTGGACAGAGATTACACTGGATTTATTGTGTTCCACACTGGCATGAATGCTTACTTGACCAGTTAATTAATTTGCTATTCAGGATGGATAGTGACCACGAAAAGTTATCAAAGCTGCAAAGCTGTGCAGTGTTTCTGACAAACTTAAAGCAACCTTATTTCACTGAGTATTTCCCTAAAGCTATTTTTGTATAATTCATTTAATTCAGTTATATTTTAGATTTGAATCTTGAAGTAGCTTTAGCTGTGTGTCTCATTGTGTTTACTTACTTCATTAACTAAGGAGGCTTTGTTTGAAGATAAGAGCCTTCATTGTTTGACTGACCCTGAGAATTTGACTGAGACTAAGCAGGCCCAGCTGCTGCTTATTCCAAAAATGAATGAGTTCACATTAATTACACTGCTCAGAGACCTTGACCTTCCTTTATCCTATTCCCAGCTGAAAAGAAACCAACAGCTACTGGGTTCTAAATGGGAAATGGGAGGAGGGCTGGAAAAGGTTTGGTCTGTTTTGATTGGTGGAAAAGTTTTGGATAAAGAAGACAGATGGCATGAGGAAACCTTGCCACAGTTCATAAGGTTCAACTTGTGGTAACAGACACGCAGAAAGGATCTGATAATATCTGCTGACCGGTTTCTGCACCTTGGCCTCTGATGGTCCTTATATGGAACGGTCCAATCAGCAGACAAAGTTTGTTGCCAGGTGACCATGAAAACAAAATAATGTTCCTTTTTAATGCCCTGGAGGGAAGGTTTACTAATGCATTAGCTATTGTTTAAACAGCAGACAGAACATGTTATTAATGAACGTTTTCTCCCTGTCATAAACACACATTCAAGTCCAGTTCTTTCATTATGGCAGTCCTGGGCATATTCATGAATCATGAAGGGTTAAATGAGACTCATGTCTAATCTAATTCTAATCTAATTCATCATATTTTAGTCTAAATGTAGTGTGATTTAGTGTTTAGTGAGTCACATTTTTAAAAATTTAAGAACTTCATCACTGGTGACCATCAGAACACTGTTCTTTTGTTTTGTTGTAGAGTAGAAAGAAGTCACTTTGTAAGACCTTCTTGGACTTCAGGGGCACTAAAATAACTACAGGTGTGAAAAGATGATGTTTGAACTTTAAAAATGGAATTGAGACAAAGTGATGCTTTAATAATTGAATACATGTAAAATATTTAGAAATAGGGTAGTCCTGTATACTAATGCTCAGTCTGTGTTCCACTCTCACATCTGGCTGCCTGCCAGGCATATACAGTAAAATCTTGATCCTGAATAGAGGATAAAAGGTGCAGCTGTGGGAGCAGCAGGCAGTCAGACAAAAGTAAATGGAGTCATTCTCCAAATCAAGGCCAACTCGTTGGTCTGCTGCAGTTGTAACCCAATTATTCCCAGGCCACATGTTTTCAAAGAAGGGGTGTAAGGCAGAGGGGAAAGCCCTCCTTTTTTCTCCTGCAGTCACCCCATAAAACACAGAGGGTAGAGAAGCAAGGAGAGAAAGTTGGGACATCTTAAACATTATTCCACATGACCTAAGGAAAAAGTCGGTATCCGATATTGTCTGTGGGTAAATGCTGGCATGTAGTCATTTTTTCCCATCTGTGCACTCCACTAATGCCTGCTTTATTTAAGTGGTTCATGTTGAGGTAACTTGTTAATGAGTATCTGGTAGAAATGGATTTATTCCTTGTTCAGATGTAGCTATATACTCTACTGAGAATAAGCATATTTAATAATAATGTGAATGGATCTTCAAAATAGACATCTAAATAGCTCATGGAGAAAATGAGTAGAAAAAGTTTATCAGCAATAATGCTGTTTGAATAATTATAACCATCATAAGTAACCAAATCATCTCAACATGTATTTGCTCAAAAATTATTTTATTACAACAAACACATCTTTAATCATCCAGACAAAGGAAAGCAACAGTAGATAAGTTGAGGCATCTCTTCTCTGAAAGGTGTGGAAATTCATAAAGTGGACGTGGTGAAACGTCAAGAGCGGTTACACCAGGAGGCTTTTCTGTGGGACACATGAAAAAGGCCACTTCATCGTCCAGGGAAGAACGGTCATATTTTAGATCTGGATGCAGGACCTTATGAGTGTCCTTTGACTGAGGCCAGGCATCAGCAGGTGGAGGACTTGGTGGCAGTGGAACCTCATGAGGCAGTGGGCTGATACACCTTGAATCAGTGTATTCAGAAAACACAGGGGACGGTGGAGGACTTGGTGGCAGTGGAACCTCATGAGGCAGTGGGCTGATACACCTTGAATCAGTGTATTCAGAAAACACAGGGGATGGTGGAGGACTTGGAGGCAGTGGAACCTCATGAGGCAGTGGGCTGATACACCTTGAATCACTGTATTCAGAAAACACAGGGGACGGTGGAGGACTTGGAGGCAGTGGAACCTCATGAGGCAGTGGGCTGATACACCTTGAATCACTGTATTCAGCAAACACAGGGGACAGTGGAGGACTTGGAGGCAGTGGAACCTCATGAGGCAGTGGGCTGATACACCTTGAATCACTGTATTCAGCAAACACAGAGGACAGTGGAGGACTTGGAGGCAGTGGAACCTCATGAGGCAGTGGGCTGATACACCTTGAATCACTGTATTCAGCAAACACAGGGGACAGTGGAGGACTTGGAAGCAGTGGAATATTAGCCAGGAGGCTGAGAGGCATCAAATCAGACCTCTTGTGTTTTAGAGAAAGAGGTGAAGCGTATTTCTTTTCAAACGGTGGAGGACGTGGAAGCAGTGGAACATCATGAAGCATCAGCCTGATGAGCTTAAGCATTAACTCTTCCTCTTCATCACCTACAGACCACACTGTTGAACTTGGATTCTTTCCACTGGGACCAAAAGCTTCAACAGGTGGAGGACTTGGAGGGAGTGGAACCTCATGAGGCAGAGGGCTGACACACTTTGGATTCATGTATTCAGCACACACAGGGGATAGTGGAGGACTTGGAGGCAGTGGAATATTAGCCAGGACACTGAGAGGCATCAAATAAGACCTCTCGTGTTCAAGGGAACGAAGGGAAGCATACTTCTTTTCAGAAGGTGGAGGACGCGGAGGCAATGGAACATCATAAGGCAGCGCGCTGATACACTTTTGATCAGTATCGTCATCATTTACAGGGGATGATGGAGGACTTGGAGGCAGGGGAAGATCCCACGTCATCAGCCTCATACGTTTAGGAGGCGGTAAGATCCCCACATCCTGGAAGCAGTACTTGCTGCACACATAACAAGAAAAATCAGCAGCTGATTATTTTTGCAACATATGATGGAAACAGATGTTTTAATGTCCTTTTTTTTTTAAATTGAAAAGCAAACATACCTGTCACTGCTGACATCTGAGCTGCTTTGTGAGTTAAACCTCTTAAGATGTGGATTTTCCTTTAAAAAGTTACATATTATTATTGTTGTTGTATTTTTCATTAAGAATTCACATGATTTAATGTTTAGAAACAGACACAGTGAAGAGTAACTTACCACAGCTCGAGCCATTTTAGGCGTCTGTCAGGAGAAAGATCCACGCAGGATTTGGTTTCTCTGTGTAACATTACAGGACAGTTGCCATACATTTTCAAGTCAGTTTCAACAATGTATATCCAATCAAACTGTATCATTACAGCATTGTTTAGGTGATTAAATACAAAAGAAATGAAGATAAAAACAGTAACAGCTGGCAATCAAGGTAAAACAACCTTATGATCAGGTCTTAATCATTATTGTTTAAAAGTAAATCTTTCAATCCTTACTTCAGTGACTTGTTTGTCTGTGCTTGCTGTCAGTCGTGGTTTTGTGTCAAATAGTTGTAGTTTTTGAACAAAGTTTGCAAAGACTCCAATGTTGTGTCTGTTCAGAACCAGTGTAATGAGGAGACTGAGTGCAGGTTTGGAATTGTCAGTTACAGAAGAATGCAGCAATGTTTGAATTTGAATTTGTTATTCTTATTGTTTTAACAACAATAACTACCAGGATCATGCCATAGCAACACAGTGATGCCCAATCAAATGTCAGATACAAGGGATCTGACATTACACATCCAACAGGACAGTAAAGCAATGGGCATCAATGCAACAAGTCAGGCCTTAAAAAATACCTGAGTTATATAACAGCACACTGACAGTGTCTCATAAACATGATATTCACTTCAATTTAATTTTAATTAGATGGGCAGATCTGTCCAGAGCAATATCCCAGCAATTTAACTGACTTGATGCTATACTCTGATCAGGAAGTGATTTTTTTTTCTTTTTTAAATTAAATAATCTTTCATTTAAAAACATAATAATTTTTGAGCAGTGTATTTAAATTCCTAATAATAATGTAATTTCAAAAAATTACATTATTATTTAATTTTTGCATTTTTGATTATTTTTTCTCCTTCAGTACTGTTTTCATATTTCACTTTGCTCTCACTCATGCTTGGTTATATTTATGTGCATGTCATCTGTATATGGTAAAGTGCTTTGTTACGTCCTACAGAGCAGGAGCTTTTCTGGGGGCTTGTCTTCTCCTGTTTTTTTGCTTATTTGTTGGCTTGTTTTGTTTTTTTCTATAAGCTACAGTCCAATTAGCCCATCTTGAATCAGTGGAAGCTTGAGAAGTGACAAAACCCCATCCTTCACCTCTGTCTCAGCCAGTGGAAGCTGGTAGAAATCATGCTGGACGTTAGCGAGAACGAGAACCCCCCAATGCATTGCAATGTTTTGCTTATCCTCAGAAAATGTCTTTGTAAAAAGTAAATTAAAAATCTTCTAATTCAATCTTCTAATCCTTTTCCATGGCAGATAGGTTGAATTCTCAGTCAACAGGTACAAAGAATTTAAGGGAGATGCTGATTTTTTGCAGACTAGGTCCCTTCATGGAATGTACAGATGAGTGTGAATGAAATATAATAGTTTTGTAAATTGTATTTTACATTTAAACACATGAAAAAACAGAAAAGTACTGAGGGATACTCTGATATACATGAGAAGTGAGAAAATGTACGTGTATTGAAGAAAATGAAAAACTATATTAAGAAAACCTGGACAAAACAAAGAAATGAACAACCAAAAAAAAAAGAGAGTGCTGGCTCAATATAGACAAGATGACTTAACATCTGGGGAATAAAAGGATGTGGTTTCAACTGTAGTGTTCTGTGGTGTAAATAATGATGTGAGAGTGAGTTTGAAGAAATTATGTACGCTAAATTTTCACCCATTAAACTCTGCCGTCCTGTCCATTTTCTTTCTCAGTTACTTCCTTCAACCCGACAAGTGACAGATGACAGTTTTCCTTCATGAACTTGAAAGAAAAAAAAATGTGGTAAATATTTTACTCCACTGGAAAAAAAAAACTGACATGAAGAGCTGTCACTGATGGTTGATGCCATTTAAGCCTTTAAAAAAATAGTTATCAACTAGAATATCTATTTTTTACAGGAACAGCACACTTTACCCAAATGTATTTAAGGCCATGTTGCACTAAAGATGGAAAAAACAGGCAAATGTAAAACACACTGTCAGTTTATCATTACTGTTTGTATCTAATATGAAACTTTCACACTGTTAGTTAATAGAAATGCTTTTGGCCCCATCATGTGGTCAGTGCTGATCACTGCATTAAATGCAAATCAAGCTTCGTCTTGTCTCAGAATCAGAATCAGAAAGGGTTTTATTGCCAAATGTTGAGCGGGTTTACAACATTAGGAAATTGCTGCGGTGCTTCAGTGCAAACATACTGTTATAAATTAAGCTTAAATAGACATGAAAATAAAAATGAGAATAAGAATTAAAAGTGCTAAGTAGATAGATAGATATATACATGATATATACATGAGTGCAGGTGGTCATCAGTGCCAAACATGGAATGATGCAGTGAACACAGCGTAGGGTCATGTGTTAGTGGTGGGAACAGTCATACGGTTATTGTTCGTGTGTCCAACAGCAGAGGGGAAGAAACTGTTCTTATGGCGAGCGGTTCTGGTGCGAATGGACCGGAGCCTCCTGCCTGAGGGGAGCAGGTCAAACAGACTGTGTCCAGGGTGAGAAGGGTCCAGATGCTGCAGGATGAAGTGTAGGGCCATGTTGATGGCGTCATCTACAGACCTGTTGGCTCTGTATGCAAACTGCAGGGGGTCCAGGAGGGGGGCCGTGAGGGTCTTGAGATAGGAGAGAACCAGGCGCTCAAAAGACTTCATGACCACAGATGTCAGAGCCACGGGTCTGTAGTCATTTAGTCCAGTGATCCTAGGTTTCTTGGGGACAGGGATTATGGTAGAGGACTTGAAGCAGGCAGGCACATGACGTGCCTGCAGTGAGGAGTTGAAAATGCCAGAAAACACTGGGGCCAGCTCGTTTGCACAGTGTCTGAGGGTGGCAGGAGACACACCGTCTGGGCCGGGAGCTTTTCGAGCACTGTTCTTTCCCTGTACTAGCCAACATTACAGATTGTCACAGACCAATTGATAATGATAAAGTAATACAAATAAAGAAAATGTAAAAAAGAAAGAAAAATCAACTTGTGCATTAAGTAAAATGCAGCATTATTTCTCTTATCTGTTATGCTTGCTTTTGTTGTAATAACGTTTATGGATAAAACAACCAACAAACATTCCTATCAGTGCTGCATTTGTGTCACATAAAATATTTTAATTAAAATGTTACTTAGTCAATTAGAGTTCTTTCTACAATGAAACAGGATAATATGTAAATTCATTGCCAGCTGCCTCGTGTGCCCTTCATGTTTTTCTTATTGTTGCTTCATAAGAATGAGTGAGCATTTATTATTATGGATCATCTACTATGATTTGTAATAATGAACAAACAAGCCATTGTTATGCATGATACCGATTCTGTAGTTGCACACTGACCTCTGTGCAGCTACAGCAGTGGTGGTTTAGCAGCTCAGTGAAAACAGGATATAGTTTGTGGTTTCTAAGGTCACATTGTGAAGAGTAGCTGTGATGCTTGAGGCACGGCTCACATTTCCTAAACAAAACACAATGTAGGCAAAGCACCAACACTGCTGACCAGAGCCTTGTTTTAATATCCAAGGATATCTCATATGAACTATATTTTATCATACACATCAAAACATACACTACCAAGCAAAATTGTAAAACATTATTAAAAGAATAAAAATTATAAATGTGCAGACTTGTAAATAAGTAATAATGTATGGGCAGACCCATATGGAAAAGATATATATAAATCTTATAAAGTTTGTATCTGTCTTGTGTGAAACTTGTATGAAAAGCATATAAGAGAGAAAACAGATATAAGATCCCTTGAAAATTTATATAATGAAACTTGTATGTTTTGGATACTTACTAAAACAATGTATGAAAGTAATGAGAAAGTGGCCACTTTCATGAGTAAATCATGTAAGCCTTATATGATTTACTCATGAAAGTGGCCACTTTCATGAGTAATCACATATAAGTTTTTACTATTTCTTTTCCATATGGGGACGCAGCATGGTGGCGTGGTGGTTCGCACTGTTTCCTCCAAATAAGAAAGCCCTCAGACTGACTCCCTCATCTGGCTGTGGCCTTTGTGTGAGTGATGTTTTCTTCATATACAATTTTGGAGTAAAAAATGTTATTTACAGCAACATCTGAAAGAAGTAACAACAGAAATGTAAATGTGGTGTCGTCACATCATGTTAATGATGCATTAAAAGCTTGTAAAAACAGTCCAAGTGTTAAAGTATCATACCGCACAGTAGTGATGTAACAGAAATAATTCATCAAACATAATTTTCCTGCTTTACTATATTACTTTCTTTAATGTTTAATATACTGTATATGTGCATACATACTGATTTGACAAAGTTTTTGTTAATTTTCAGAATTCAGAGAGACAAATAAAGACATGAGATAACATCTCTTACCTTTATTAACAGTAAAAAGTAAAGTGAGAAGTAGAGCGGCAACACTTGTTAGTACAACCACAATCACCACAGAAACTGGAGAATTTGTACCTAGAAAAATCAAATATGAATGCTTTAAGAGTTGAGATCATGTAAATGCTGGATGGTACATAAAGAGTTACAACAATTCGCTGTACTAGATTTGTCCTTGCTTTTAATACAGCAGACTGTTAAATTTCTGAAAGCCAACCTATCCATACAGGTGGAAGCTATAGATAAAAACTTTTTATATTTCCATGAAATACAAACCTGTACAGCTTATAAGGTGGATGACGGTTTGTTCAATGCCTCAAGGCCTCAAGCCACTTGCAATTTATGTTTCAGTATCTGTAAAGTAACTGGTCTATAGAACATTGTTCTAATTACATAAATAACTTAATTTAGAACAATGCCTATAAATACATAAACTAAACAAAAAAAAATTAAAAATATAAAATAAATGAATATTTAAGTATAACATTTTTTATATTACCTGCACATCTTATAAGGTGGATGATGGTTTGTTCTCTGCTTATATTGTTTTGAACGATACACATCAGCTTTCCCATCAGTTCACCATGTAAGCTGATGGTAACATTTGAAATGCTGTGGTTTTCTGCAATCTTGGGTTTTATCAACAGGTTATCATCTAAAAGCAAGATGAACTCTACTTCATCTCCTTCAGAGGAAAAACTGACTGTCTTTTGTTCTGGTGACAAACAGACCTGAGATACAGCAGGTTTTGACACAAGAGCTGAAAGACAAATATAGTCAGCAGTGTCAGTTGCAATATAACATTCACTGACAGCACTGCAAACTGTAAGGCCTATGTACACCTAAATGAGAGATACATGTAGATACTAGGTATTATGTATGTGTCTGAAAAAATACAATAAATAACCAGCAATACTGCATGAAAGAATATATATCAAGATCCATTATGAATATAATCCAG